GAATGCCTACCAACAAAACTAATCAATAATTTTATCATATAAACTTAGGTCTTCATATAACCTATTTTAACTTTTAAATATTAATAAAGACAGTGTTGAATATCCTATGATTTTAATATCAAATACTAAAATCTAGTTCCCTTAGAGACTTGATCTGCTGAATCAGAATTAAGAATCAGCAGAATTAAGGTCCTCAAGCAGCAGACTTGCATATACTTTTTTCTTTTAATATACAAAGGTTGAAGGAGTTGTGCCACTTTTGTATGATAGACTTAAGGACAGAAGTTTCAGTAAACAAAACTGCAGGTTTACTCCAGTCCTCTTTAGGGGATACAAACACTCATCTCTCACGTTCCAGAAAAAGCCCTTACCACGGGTCTATAAATTGCCTGGGTCTGGCAAAGTCAGGAAGGAAGTAGTTTTTCCTGCATTTCTCCTTTTAAATTATTTTTACTTAGCAGAAGAGTTCAAGTTTCTCAGTGTTGAGAAAGAACATGCTACTGCACACAACATTGTAGTTTGCCGACTACAGAGAGTTAAAGGACAAGAAGTCTTGGCTATAATTTTTGGGCCCTGGATTGTTCTAGTTTTCTACCTAATATGTGAACAGTTCAGAAACTTCAGACAAACCTTCAAGCATATATTAGAGAACCCAAGGCTCCTTCATTCTCCCCTTCCAGAGAAGTTCTGACACCACAGCCTGCACTGTGATTCCACCCCTTGCTATACCAAGGTACAGCTTCTCTAAGAGGGATAAAGAACCTTCACCAGCATCACAAACACATCTTTCATGAAGTCCACACAACAATCAGGGTCAGCTCCACAGAGCTGAATGGTAGAACCTCAAACTCTCGCCCTCCAGGAAAGTGCTCTAAAGCAGCAAGAATGTAACAGGAATTACAAGGGAATGCCTGTAGTCCTTTGCTAAAGGATGATACAGCAGCTGCAGTAGTCCAGTCTGTTTCTGTCTTCTCCAAGACAGTTTTTCACATAAGCTACCTAGCAAGGAGTTCTTCATAAACTTAGCAAAGATATAGTTGCATAGAGGACGTAAGGAGACAACCCTTTAAATCAGAGTGTAACTAAATGACCATGCTAGCTTATTTCTTCACACACACATACCTGCACATACACACATACATGTTCTGAAATGCTAAAATAAAATTATTTTTTGCAATGAACCTGCATTATTTAAAACATTTGCAGTGTGTTGGGATGCATGAAGATACCAGTTTAAAAGGTTGTATACAAAGAAAGTATTTGCAGAAGTCTCTTGTTTTTTCACAATGCTTGATCACACAATAAGGATGCCACAATAAATGAATTCTTGCATGTGTGGAGCCAAAAATGAACTTCCACAGTCTGCTTGTGTTGAGCTCGTTGCTGCTAATCTTCCCTTCAATATTTTGACCCTTGTTTTCAAAATTGTTCACACCTTCCTCTCTCTATTGCAGAAAGCAGGCTCTCCTCAGAATAAAAAGATTGATCTCAGACTGTATTCTGTTGGACCTCCAAGGGACTGAATCATTTCCTAGTACTAGTTCTTGCCACATGTGAAAGAACTGCCTTTCCAAGAGACAATTGTAAGGGATGAGGACACAAGGCTTTACTGAAAATCACTCTAGGGATTTGCCAGGCTAAAGACATCACTCTAACACTTTACTACTGGGAAAAATCCTCACCTCCCTAACAAGAGTATTCTGTGAAGAAGCAGCAGACTGTATGCTTCTGAGAAACTGATTAAGACTAGAATTCCTCTAGTTTCATATTCTAACCTTGTGACTTAAATGGCTTTAGTGTGCGTTATGATGTTTTTAAATACATTAAAGGTTAACTGTAAAGAAAGAAGGGAATAGGCTGTTCCCCTTCTCCACAGGGCAGAAGACAAGAGACAGAAGAATGACAGCAACTTACACATAATTTAGACAAAAATTTTAAAAGCTTTGTAAAAGGTTACTGAAGCCTTGAAGCAGACTGCCTGAGGGGATTTTGGAATCTCCATCACTTACAGTTTTTAACATGTCTCAGACGGATTTGGTCATAGCTCACCCCTTCGTGCAGAGATAGCTTAGATGATACCTTTCATACCTCATAGACTTATAATCATTGTTATAAAAGATGAATGTTAAACCATAATACAGTCCCATGACCCTTTGCACCCAGACATACTGCTAAGTCTTCTATCAGTTTGTCTTCAAAATAATGTTCTTCTGTTTCAATCCAAGATTTATCATAGCCTTGAAGGAAGAGATTGACAGCTCGGTGCCTAAAATGGGACATTTAAAACAAAAGCTGTAAACTTTTAGAGATTATTTGGTCAATACAAATTTCATTTAGCTTGAAGAACTGTCCAGTAATTACAAATTTAAAAGGAAATCAAAATTTCTACAGTAAAACCACTGAAAGAACCTGTTTTAAAATTAAGTTTACATTAAAATGCTCTGTTCAAAACTGTGTCCCATTAACTTGTAAAACTGATATTAAAATGTAATAATAATGATTTTAGGAACAGATAATAAATAGAACTTTAAATAAATTTAAATACAAGTAAGAAAATTAATTATTTTACCACATTAGTGAGTTTTATTTTTAATAGAAAATATTTTCATATTATTTTAATTTAATTATTAAGATAACAACAATAGATTACTTTGGCTTGTGCTCAAGTAATTGCATTTTTTTTAATGTTCAGGATTAGACTTGCATATCTAAAATAATAAATTATTTTTTTCCAAACTCCATGAAATTAAATGGCTAATGAGGGCAAGAGGGTAAGCCAATGATAATAACTGTTTTTTGTTTTTATCTTGAGGATTCAATGCAAAATGGACTGTGTGACAACCAACTCCCCAAGAAGAATTTTATCAAACCTCTTTATTTTTTTTAAACAACTGCCATTCCCATATACTGAAAAGGAAGAAGTATAATTAAAATATACAAGAATGATAGTTATGTGCAGGTGACCCACTTGTTAAAGTAAGAACAGCTACAGATGGAAATATCTTTGTTCTATTTTCAACTGTCACAGAAGCCTCATTTCAAGCTAGTATGATTCTGATGCCCTTGTGCCTCCTTGGACAGACCAAGATTTATCCTACTAACTATGCTAATAGTAATAATATGCATACTTTTAGGAAAAAACAAGAACATTATTATGTTGAAAAGATCAAATACAAGTGTTCTGGAAATTATTTTTAGCAATTGCATGAAAAACAATTGTCTCTATTTTTTCTGAACATTCATTCCTTCCAGAATCTCAGGATTCTGAAACTTGCTTGACTATAGATCCCATTCTCTATAGAGCAAGAGAGAAGAGGAAAAGGAGTGACGTGAAAAGGTGTGAAATGCTTAGAGAATGTGCATATATTTCTTGTCTAATAGAATGCTCTTCCCAAAAGTGCAGAATAAACAGACAAGCTTTCAGATAAATAGTATCAGTTTATTTCCTGCATATAGAACATTCAGCATTTAATAATGAAGGTAACTCTGTATTTCCAGAGCTATGCCATGGCATAGGAGGAAATTTATCACCCAAGATATTACAGTGACACCAATATGTCTGCTTCTGCATTTATCTCCTATGAAAGGTGTCTGCTTTTCAGAAAAGAAAACATACCAGAAGGAACTGGTGGAATAATAGCAAGAGGAGAGAATCAGAAATTTAAAACTATACTTTTGTTATCCTTTTCAGAAGATATATTAGAAGAAAGTAATTAGATCTATAAAAAGAAAGTAATATACAATGTACACTACTATGCAGTTTATCAATTACTAGTTTACATGTTTTTCTTCCTTTTGATCTTGCCAAATAGCACTATATGAACATAAACGCATTTGTGAAAGACAGAACAAATATAGCTCTTACCTTGGCAGATTATACAATGGTGCCATTCTAAAGCAGGCAACTACTGCTCTTTTCCTCTGTTTAGACAGCAGCTTATGCCACACTGCTTTTTTGGACCGCTGAGGATGCTCAACCTGTTATATAAAATACACATGGAAAAATAAACAATGTGCCAATGATCCTCCTGTCTGGGCATAGTAATAATAATAAAAATGTGAGATAACAGATAAATGAAGTGGAAAGATAACAGAAGAATAATAGATGGGAAAAAGTGTTCTAGACAGAGTTCAAGCTATCAGTCAAATTGTAGAATCAGAATTTAGAAAATAAACTTAAAAGCAAAAATCTCCCTTTCCTTGTATGATACAGATATTCTCCTTTTTTTGCTTCATCCTACTTCTTATATCTTTTAGATAGAGTAGTTTCATCATTGAGGACATCTCTCAGGATATCTTAACTTTTAATACAAAGAATCTTCACTCTTTCTATCTTTTATATGTAACTGTTTACATATGTACAGGTAAACCGTACACCTTCACGTTGGTTCAGACAATACTTTTAAAGAATTGTCTTAAATACAATCAATCTTTTATTTGTAATATTTACCATGGCCAACTACAATGGAAAGGAATTAACTTTATAAATGGGACAGGCACAAGGACTAAATCCCTTCCATGAATCTGCATAGCTAGACTGAATAAAAGATATTCCAAAATACTTCATTTCATAGTATTCCGGCTGTGAATTTCCAGTGAAATTTCATAAATTTCGCTACATTTCATAATATTACAGCTCTGTCTTCAGATATATTATCTTTCTGCATCCTGGCTTTACAGTAGCATGAGATGAAATTGCGTGTGCTTCATCCTCCCACAGCCTATTCACAGTTTTTGTGATTTACATCACAACTGCTCCATAAAGATGCTGTCACCTGATTTAACTCACATAAGTCTTGTAGAGTTAAGGGGGAGATGTCTTTTGTGTGACGATGTTTGTTTGTTTGGGGGGGTTGTTTCTTTCTTTTTTGGACAATAGTGCTAGTAGAATACTAGCTCCTTTGTTTCCAAACATCTTCAAAGGAGTCAATGGAAGTTAACATCCCTAAACTGAAAGGCTCCTTGAGGATTCTCCCTTGTAATAAAATAAAGCATTTTATTTAAAACATGCAGTGATGATGATGTTTACATAGACTCAATATTCAATCCATACATAGTTATCCAAGAGGAATTTTCCAGTTTAGTGAAATATAAAAAACTTATTCATAGTTAAATGATAAACCTTTAATGGAACAGACTAAAATACTGATGAGCATCCAGTGAAATGGATAGTTACACTTGTAAGATTAAGTGGTGACATTCTAAAACAAGTTCCTGCCAAAAGATAAAATGCAAATGAATATTATTTGTTAAGAGAAAGGATAGAAAAGTGTTCACTGCAAACACATTTACAGTCACAAAACAAAGTTAGCACTAATAATCTAGAAGTCAGACAAATCCAAATGTGAAAGTTAGGTAATTAGTAGTATCTTCACAAACAACTATAAAACTCTATACTTTCCCAAAAAAAATAGCCTCGGCCTACACAAGCAGATCTCTGAAAATAATAAAAACAAAGAAGTTAGCTGTGCATGGAAAGAAAATAGAAAGAATGAACTGATCTTTGCCAGTGTAATAAGGAAACCATTCAGAGTATGCATATATGGAGAAGAGAGTATTTCTATATTGAGAGCAAAGGAATATTTAAGACTATCATAAAAACAGACCCAATGCTCACATATTCATTATTTTTAAAAACACTGAATTACCCACTTCACTAACAAATGCACTTAAGCACTTGTCCACAGAAGATGAGTAAAGCTGTAGTGCCAAACCTTCAAAGAAGTAGGTGCAAAGTACCCAGAATAAAAGCAGCCAGCATTTGCTTCACTGCAAATCATTGGTTTAGTCTGATCAGAAGGACTGATCTGAAATATTAATCTGGTTGTACAATGGGAATCCATCCTGTTCTGTAATACTGCCAGATTCTATATGCTGTGAGATTGATCCTATGACAGAACATGGAAAACACAAGGATCATACCTTGGTTTTCACTCCCTTGAACAATTTCTCCAAACTACACAAGCTTAATCAATTCATAAGCGTGATGGTATAGCTAAAATGCCAGAAACGAAAATATTGTATATGCTGTTTGAACTCAAATACAAGAGTCTAATGCTGAATTATGCAACTCTGTGCATGTTAATCCATTTTCTTTCAGCTCGTTTAACTTTAATAAAAACAGGGTAAAATACAAGATCTTTTGCTCCCCACATTTCTAGTTTTCCCCTACTCTTCCTTCTTCCTCACAGCCACCCTATATCCTTTCAAATCAACGCCAGTTCTCTTGTCTCTCTGTTTAGTAAGCTAACTGTGATTGCCATGTATTTACTTCCTATTCTATCACTTTTTGCTTGCTCCACACATATTTAATACCAGGTAAAATTTAGTCACTCTTCTTC